TCATTTTAAAATAACTTGATAATATATAGATATATATCAACTTGGATTAGACTTATAAATAAAAAGAAAATGAGAGAGAAAGCGAATTAAAGGAAGTAGAGTGTTAATTGATCCATAAATATCCAGTGGATCAAACTGTTATAAAGATGTATTAAACCTCATATTGTTGCTTATAGCTCGGATCGGATTTAATTTTAATCAAAATCTTTTGCAGCCGAAATATATATATTCTTGCACAGAACTATTTAATAAACTGCTTGAGAAGTATATGGTACAAGCCAAAGATATCTATTTGTTTAAGTTGCTGTTTAAATAGTTTTAAATAAGAGTATATTTGAAAAATTGAATGGGAAATAAATGATACAAGCTATAGACATATTTCAGTCGAGTTACTATTTAAATAATCGCAAAGAAATATATAATTATTGAATATAATAGTACCAGCCTTTTTCATTATTAAAATAAAGCCTTTTGGAATTAGATCAAAATAAGATATTGGAATTCATTATATATACTAATATATTAATATGAGATATCAAAAGGCTTGATTATTTGCACGAACAAAGATATAAACCAAAAAATTCAAGCTATTAGCTAACTGTAGAGTATCGTGTATAAAGTATCAAAGTGCTTTGCTTTCTATTTTTGGTTGGTTTATTTTGATTTTCATATGATTCTATACTTTTTTTAGACAAAACAAACAAACTTACTTGGGCGGTTACCCAGGCTTTTTTTTACGATAAACCTGTTATTTCATGCATGACCATCGCATCCGCACTACGGATGCGTTATTGGAATCGCATCCGCACTACGGATGCGTTATTGGAATCGCATCCGCACTACGGATGCGTTATTAGAATCGCATCCGCACTACGGATGCGAAAACTTTATCTTTACCTTATTACTTTAGAGAAACCTTTGGATTACCAAATGCATTACCTCAAAACTATAAATGATTATAGTTTTTGCGATTTGTTAGAAAATAAACTTTTCCTCTCCCATATGACCACTGGTTATGGCACCCCCCACCCACAACGCCCCCTTTTCTCTCACACCTCAACTACAGACACAAATATGCCTCGGCTGCATACACACACTTTAAATATATCTATCTCAACTACCCACACATCGACTACCCACACATCGACTACCCACACACACATCTCTCTTATAATAAATTCATAACCTATATAAACATATAATAGATAATAAATAATATTTTATTTTAGATATTTAAAGATATTAAAATAAATAAGATATGCAAATAGAGAGAGATTAAATTGATTTGTTAGAAATAAAAGGGACAAGAAAAATGAGAGTGCAGAGTATAAGAAATAGATGTTTATATATAATGTAGACTTGAGAATTATGGTATGCGCCTATAAAGAGATATTAGCATGGTAGGACTTTGTGTTGGATGATGACTGTTTGGTCTAAAACTGAATATTTAAAGATATACTAAAAGTCGGAAGCTTTGGAGAATATGTATGATGGAATGGGATCATTGTCATTGAAGACGGTCATGAAAGTATAAGAATGTGAGTGTTGTGTGTGCGGGAAAGTTTAAAGGTAGTTCTGAGAACAGTGGTATATAGTACTTTAGGTATAAAGGAATATAGTGTACGGCTTTTGAGTTTTGAAGTTTTATTATATGACTATTATTTCAATTTTTATTTTTCAGTGATAGTAGAATAAAAAGATATTATAGTTGTTGGTATCAATTTTGTTAGTATTGTAAAGCTGGTGTTGATATAGGTAAAAAAACAAAAAAAAAAATGATACTGTGGCGATGACTATCGACTTTGAAAGCAGTGAGAAGCTGTTGCTAGTACAAGTTTGAAAAAAGAAAGTCATAGTGTGGTGATGACTGTCGACTTTGAAAGCGTTGTGAAGCTGTAGCTAGTATAAGTTTGAAAAAAGAAAACGTTACTGTGGGGATGACCGTCGACTTTGAAAGTGTTGTGAAGCTGTAGCTAGTACAAGTTTGAAAAAAGAAAACCATAGTGTGGTGATGACCGTCGACTTTGAAGGCGGTGTGAAGCTGTGGCTAGTACAAGTTTGAAAAAAGAAAACGTTACTGTGGGGATGACCGTCGACTTTGAAAGTGTTGTGAAGCTGTAGCTAGTACAAGTTTGAAAAAAGAAAACCATAGTGTGGTGATGACCGTCGACTTTGAAGGCGGTGTGAAGCTGTGGCTAGTACAAGTTTGAAAAAAGAAAACGTTACTGTGGTGATGACCGTCGACTTTGAAAGCGTTGTGAAGCTGTAGCTAGTACAAGTTTGAAAAAAGAAAACCATAGTGTGGTGATGACCGTCGATTTTGAAAGAAGGGAGAAGTTTATGGGGACACAAAGGTTTGACCAAGGGATTGTTTTTTGTTAGAGCCGCGTATACAGTGGAAAGTTGTCAAAAGGATAAAATAAAGAGTACTTCGATTTTTTCTCTTTCAAAGAGTGCGCTTCCTTTTCTTATTGTGTCGCTTTCAGTCCACTTTGAGTTGTAATACAATATGAATGACGATCCCCAACAGGAATGAAGATCCTCGACAGGGATGGAGGAATGTAAGGAATGTCGAAAGAAGATTCAAGCCATCGTTAAAAATATATTTTTTTGTTTTGGTTACAGCACAGTGGACGATTTTGAATACACAGTCCTCTCTCAACGATTATAAGTGAGTACTATACGGTCTTTAAACCCTCCATGGCTCTTCCCGCTACCCAACAGGAAACGACCCCACAAGGGTCACCACACTATGGAGACAACAACTTCCCTCCTCTATCACCTAACATACATCCATCAACCCAACCAAACGCCCCCACACATGCTTTACCTACTACCACTCCCATCACCTTTGCCTCCTTGGTCGACCCTGAAAAACAACGCTCCCTCACGCGCATAGAACGCGTACTTGGTTCAGATGACCCATATGCCATTCCTACGGAATGTCGGTTCGGTACTTCCCCCCACTCTGTTTTTTACGACCTGCCCCAATCTGATGACTCGTTCATGGCCGCCTTCTGGACAGCAATTCACGCCGCTTTCTCTGAGGAGGAAGCTTTTGCTGAAGTTACCTCTGTGCGCAACAACACACACATCGTCGAACTTTACCTTGAATCTGACACCCTTTGCAATCGTGCATGTGCCGAACCCATTGTCGTCCAAGACTCCGTTATTCTCGCCCACCGTGCCATTTCGTCTTCTGTTATGATGATGAAACTCAACATCACCGGTCTTCCTCGCCTCTCCCGCCCCTGCCTTAACGAACTTATCCGTTCTTCCCTCTACTCTTTCGGCATCATCAAGGAGGTCGTTATTTACCTGGAGAACAGGTTCTTTACTGGATCTGGCTACGTGTACCTGGAACGCCCACCTAACCAGGATCGTGTTTACTCTCCCCTGGTTCACAAGATTCCCTGCGAAGGTTATGGTCATGTTTTCGGCACTTGGGCCAAGATGGGTCCCCATTGCAGATACTGTAAGGCCATGGGCCACGTTCTGGCTGACTGCCCCACCCGCCCAATCGAATCTCGCACTTGTCACGCCTGTCAAGCCGTCGGCCACCTTCAGGCAACCTGTCCCCGTATCAACAACCCTCATCCCAACAACAACACCAGTAACAAACGCATCCGTAAACAGCCCCGTCGTGAATCCCAGTCCACCCCCGCCCGTACACAAACTCTTCCCCCTGTCCTTCCCGCACTACCCAAGCGAAAGAAAAAGTCCGCTCCTCGTACACCGCCTGCTAATCAGTTTGACATCTTGGGCAAGTCTGCGGCCGAGATTGAGGCCGAACTTGCACAGCTATCCACTCATGACCCTTACCGACGAGTCCTCCGCGCAGCATTGAAAAACATTACCGACGAATCAAACCGTGACATTCCATACCAAGAATATGATCCTAACAAGGACGACTTGGCTATGGATACTCAAGACAGCGAAAACGGTGCTGAATCCGAATCCTCTAGCGACAGTGATAATGCTGACAACGACCAACATGGCTCACTTATGACAGGTATTGTCGTTCACCAAAATATTAACCCCCCTCAATGATCAATATAGGAACACTAAACTGTAGAGGGCTTGCAAAATTGCAAGACCCCCAAAGACGATCCTTATTTATTCG